GAACCTGGGTCTGCTCGAGTTGTCACAGGAGACAAGGCCCTTGAAAACCACCCCAGAGTGGTGCTGGGAGAAGTGGGGGGACTATTCAGGGAAACTGAAAATGCCGCCCCCCTTCACCTCCCGATACAGGTGGGGTGTCGTACTGGACAAACAATATATACTTCTTGTCCACCCGGCGCCCGCCTTCCATTCTCCTGGCATCGAACTCACTTTCCTTCAGGGAGCAGCAATGATTGGCCCATAAGTGGGTGTGTGACTCACGCCAGACCAATAGAGCTCTTCCCTGAAAGTTTTCATACTGAATCTGGGAGGAAGGGGGGAGTCTTCTTTTTCCCTTGGTAAGAGGATGGAGCTCCCCACAGAGAAGAGTTGAGATGAGAGAGAGAGGCAGAAAGAAAAATCCCTTTCCCATCCAAGTCCCTGGACCTGGGGCACCCCTCCACCTGCCTCTCTGTGGTCTACTCCCCGAAACCAGTCTGCCAGCTGATGGTCCTTGACCGACAGGAGACTGAGAGGCTGTGGCTGCAGGGATGGGACCTGGTGGCTGTTACCTTTTGGACCTGGGCCTTTTGTTTTGCATAGAATTTAAATATGCAGATCAGGAGGGCGGGAAGGAAGGGCACTGAGGCAGGGGGAACAGCACCAGCAAAGGCAGAGCGGTGACAGGCGGTTGAGTTTGGAGTGCGGGGTCAATGGGTGGGAAGGAGGAGCTCCCCAGGGCAGAGGGGTGCCTTTTCTGAGCTCCCCCATGGCATTCACCTCATGACAGTCCTCAGTAACAACTCATCGACGGCTCGTCCCTCGGCAGTAACTTCTCGTAACTCCTACCAAGACTGAACTTTTACCCAGTCGTCTCATCACCTCTTCTGTGTGCACACAGGAAGCGGGAGTGAGCCTCCCAGGCTATGCCTGTCAGATGCCAACACGTGGGCCGACGTGATCGGCTGCCCATTAACTAACAATAATAATAGCCGACCTTTGCTGGTCCCTCCCGAGGTGCCGGGCCCTGTGCCTCACACCTGCCTGCCCAGCTCCTGGCATCCGACACCCACCCAGGAGGTGGGGATCATTCCCGTGACAGATGAGGGAACCGAGACACAGAGAATTTCAATACGTCGATTATTCACGTATTAATTAATCATTCATTCCAAACCATCTGCTTGGTGATCCCTTGCAGGAGCTTAAATGAAACGTGGGTATACCGTGTCACTTCCTGTGGGACACAGATGATAGTCAGAGGAAGTCATCACAGCTTACCATGTGCTGAGGGCCAGGCGTGGTCGCAGCGTCCTGTGCATGACCTGGGGAGTCCCTTCGGGGCTGCGGATGGGAAACACAATGGAAGCAAGTTCAGTGACTGGCCTGAGGTCACTAGTAAGTGGCAGGATGGGGACCCAACCCCGAGGCCATGTGACTGCAAGTCCCGCCTCCCAGCCTGATCAGTGTGAGCATGTGGCACAGGGGGTTGCCTGCTGCTGAGTTTTAGCCCCAAGTCCGGCGGCCCTTGCACCAGCCAGGCGCCCTGCCACGGCCGAGGCTTTCCTGGACCCCCACCCCTTCCCCGGCTTCTCCTTCCAGCTCTCCTCGGCCCCCAGCTCTGCAGCCCCCTCTCCCCTCTGACCGTGGGGCACGGGCTTGTGTGGAACTGGCTTTCTGGAGAGGCTTTTAAACCTTCCTGGTTGCAGCCCGTATTGATCCGCCTTGTTCCTTAATGGGATTCTTCTGCTTCCGCCACCTCCCCTCCGCCCACCTCCCCTAGGCCAGCCCATTACCCTGGGCCTTTGCTGCTTCAGACCTTCTCAGTCCCGACTCTGATCGATGCTCCTCAAGAGGAGCGGGGAGATGGGGGAACCGGGGAGACAAACGAGCCGGCTGTGGCCCAGGCCTGGCCTCTGCCTGCGGCCTGGGGGCTGGGCCCCGAGCCTCTCCGTCACAGGGATGGCTGTTTCGAGGGCCCTGTTCCTGTCCCTGAGGCTGCTGGCTGTTGGGTGGCTGCCCATTAGGGTCAGCCCTCTCCTGCGTCCCCTGAGTCCCAGGGGGAGATGGGGGAACCGGGGAGACAAACGAGCCGGCTGTGGCCCAGGCCTGGCCTCTGCCTGCGGCCTGGGGGCTGGGCCCCGAGCCTCTCCGTCACAGGGATGGCTGTTTCGAGGGCCCTGTTCCTGTCCCTGAGGCTGCTGGCTGTTGGGTGGCTGCCCATTAGGGTCAGCCCTCTCCTGCGCCCGCTGAGTCCCAGCCCCACCCCCGTCCTCCCCTCCGGGTCCTGGCAAATGGGGACCCCATAGGTGTGGCTTCGACACAGCACCAGAGCCTTCTTTCCTCTGTTGTCGCCAAAGAAGTGCCCCTAAGTGTCATTTGTGAGTGTTCGCCGCCTCCTTCCTGGGCTCCTCGCCTGTGGCAATGATGGCAGTTTGGGGGCCGTCTGTTGCTATGGAATTCAAACTCACGGCAACTCGGTACCGTTTCCTTGGCCGCCTGCCTTTGATTCCCCGACTTCCTTTACAATCAAGTCAGTAACAAACGTGCCCTCGCCTTCCTCCTGTTGGCGATGGTATTTCAGATCAATGTGAGGCCGGAGCCGGCCCTCCGATGGGCAGCAAACAGGCGCAGCACCAAACAGGCCTCGCGTGACATGGGCCCGGGAAGCGAGCCGAGTCTCCACACACAGCGATCTCTGATTTATACGACGGCACTGCCGGCCTCTGCTGGAGCCCATTACCTTCCCTCTGACCTCAGGGGCTGCGTTTCCACGCCTGGCCCTCAGTTTGTACCCGTTTATCACAAGCAGCCTCCGGTCTTTGCCAGGACACTAGCCCCGGAGAGCAGTGACTGTGTGCAGAGCACCTTCCGTAACTGCCCAGAGGGGGCATCTTCGAAGAAGAGCTGGTCCCAGGCGGGCGCCCACCCCATGGCACACAGAGGAAGCGGCCAGGCCTGCTCCTGGCCGGTCTGGGTGAGAGCATGCTTTGCTGGGGACGTGTCATACTCCGATGGCTCATCAATACTCTGGTAGCAAGTTACGATGCCAATTGCCCTCGCTGTCCATTCTCCCACAGCCCCGTCTCCGGCCATCGATAGAGTGGCAACGAGGGTCATCTCCAACTTGGTGCTGGCCTCAGGGCTGCTTCCCAGGCTGCGGGCACATCTCTCCAGCCGGGAGGGAACACAGCTGTCTGCACCCACACAGGTCACGGCCACAGGCCATGAACACACAGCACGCACCCCGGAGCCCGGAGCCCTGTCGCTGCTCTTGTCCGCGTCCTCTGGATGGTGTTGCAATGGGGATAAAAGAGGTGACCGTCCGGGCTTTCGGAGCAGAGGGCCAGGCAGGGCAGGGTGGGGGCAGGAAGGAGTCAGGGCTTTTCAAATAGCTGATCATTTAGGAAGCGACGGAGCACAATGGTTAAGAGCACTGGAGCTGGACAAGCCCGAATCCAGGCCCGGGCCTGCTACTTCTCAGCTGTGTGATTTGGGGCAAGTGACTTAACATCTCTGAGCTGTTGGGGTGTTTTTTTAATCAGTAAATTGGGGTTCATCATAGTGCCTGGTTGACGGGGCTGCTGGGAGGTTAGAGGGAATAATACAGGCAGAGTCTGGCCTGCATGTCTGGGCCAAAGAAAGCTCTCAATCCCTTTTAGCTGGTGTTATTATCACGGTGCACGTGTCTGCCCCTCGCTCTGTGCCAGGCACAGTTCAGCACTTGTCTGTAATTCACTCCCTGGATTCTCTATAACAGTGGTTCTCAACCTTGGCTGCACATTAGAATCACCTGGGAATCTTTTTAAACTCCTGATTTCTGGGCCTCATCCTCCAGAAATTCTGTTTCTTTGTTATGGGGTGGGGCCACAACATCAGTAACAAAGAAACAGAATTTCCGGAGGATGAGGCCCAGAAATCAGGAGTTTAAAAAGATGCCCAGGTGATTCTAATGTGCAGCCGAGGTTGAGAACCACTGCTCTATAATGAGATCGCTAGCCAGCCATCACCACGGTTCCCAGGAAACTCCTAGCACCTGTGAGCCTGATGGCAGCCATGCTGGGTGAGGCTCCTCTTGGCGGGCGGGAGGGCTTTCTGCAGGTGAGGACTCCCGGCTGGGCCCACACACAGCCTGCGTCTTCTGGCCTGGCTTCTCAAACACTCTTTTCTCACCTTTTTAAATTTTTTGAGGTGACGTTCACGTAACATAAATTAACCGTCTCAAAGTGAGCGAATCAGTGGCATTTAGCACATTCACAGTGTTGTGCAACCACCACTTCTATCCAGTTCCAAAACATTTGCACCGCCAGGCAAAGCCCGTGAGCGGTAGCAGCCATTCCCGACACCACCACCACCCCCCCCGCAACCTCCATCTGCTCAGTCTCTATGGATTCGCCTCTTCTGGACATTTCATAAGTGGAATCATGCAACACGTGACCGTGTCTGGCTTCTTGCACTTAGCACAGTGCTTTTGAAGTGCATCCATGTGGTAGCATGGAACAGTGCTTCATTCCTTGTCATGGCCGGGTAACATTCCCTCGCACGGAGCTGACATGTTTTATGGGTCTAGCACGCGTCGATGGACACGGGTTGCTTCCACTCCGGGCGGTTGTGAATCGCTGCTGTGCCCGTGGCTGTGCAGCTCACACTCTTGCTCCGCACTGTGCTGTTCTCAAACCTGTCGCTTCGCCATTCCCGCCTGTGTACCCCTGGTGCCCCCTCTTCCCTCTGGCGACCCCTCCCCCCACTTCAGGGCTCAGCTTCCTGCCACCTTCTCCAGGGAGCCTTCCTGCTGTGCTCCTTCCGGGGAGGCTCCCATCACGCCCGCCATCGCCGGGTGGGCCCTCCTGCGGGGGTTGCAATGGTTCGTGCGTCTGTCTTCGCTGACAAGGGGGGGCTGTGACTGCTCCGACCACGGCTGCCTCCTCGGGGCCTCCCGACGGCCTGGGCGCACGGTTGCGATTTCTAAAACGTCATCGAGCGAATGCGTGACCGTCATCTCTGCAATAACCAGGTCTGGGTGGCAGCCTCCGGGGAATTCTCATAGATTTCAGGGAGGGAGCAGACGCCCACCGTTCATATTCTGTGGTGAAAGGCCCCTCGGGAGATTTGTTGATTAAAAATACAGTATGGAAACGGGAGCAAAGCTGCCATTAGAAAGGATTCATTACAGCCCTGCTCATTATTCTATTTGGAACAATGCTGTTAATATTAATGACCCTTAAAAATGCTTCCCATGCAGGCTTTGACGCTTTCTGCTCCCCCTACCGCACCTCATCCCTTTCCCACCCCTTCCCCACCTCTGCAGGCCCCAGGCCGGAGCTTCTGCCACTCATGGCTCGGGTCTGTCACCACTGCACTGGGCAGCTCAGAAC